GCTGTGAACATTTGTGTCCGAGACTTTGTGGAAACATACATTTTTGCATCTCTTGGGTAAATACCGAATGTGGAATGGCTGGATCATATGGAAGATGTGTATTTAACTTTTGGAGAAGCTGCCAAATCATTTTCCGAAGTGGTTGCACCATTTTACAGGCCCACCAGCAACGTATGAGAGTTCCAGTTGCTCCACTTCATCAGTATGACTTTGTATGAACAGTGGTTGTTTTCAAATCTTAGTTCTTGCAATGGTGTGCTGCCGTATCTCACTGTGGTTACGCTATTCTTTTCCCCTCTGACTAATGATTGTGAGCATCTTTTCACGTGCCTTTTGGCCATCTCTACATCTTCTTTTGCGAAGCATCAGTGTGGAGCCCTTTGCATTTTGTCTGCCTTCTTCTTCTTAAACTGTAAGAGTTCTTTATATATTGTGGCCATAAGTCCTTCATCAGATACATATTTCCAGATATCTCCTTCCAGTTAATGGAATGCCTTTTCATTTTTTAATGGCCCTCCTCAAATCTTGAACTGCTTCCGTTGTGCACCCCCCAGAAAGTCACAGTCCTTCCACAGCGAAACTCCCTAGATTCTCAACCTGTCCTCAGAACACTGCCTTCACCTATTTCCCCCAACAGAAACCTGGCTGCCTCCTGAGGACTGTAAGCTCCTAAATCGTGGCTCTTTGCCCTCCCTGCTCCTTGAGCTCTTGCCGCTGTTGGGGTGAGGTAGGTGTCCTGGTTCCATCTTTGCTTCTGACTCTTCCCTGAAACTCTGCAATGTCGAATCTCAGGTCCTCAAACAATGCTCCGCTACCCGTCCCTGAGGCTTTGTCTGGCGACCCTTAGGTCATGTCCTCCCAGCCCTTGGCTATTTTGCCTCCTGGTTCATTTCTCCTTGCTTGGAAACTTCTCTGGGCACCACGCGCAGTGACCTCAGTGTCCGCATAAGGATTCCGCAACCTCGGTGCTGTTGGCGTGGGGGGCTGACCATTCTCGCTTGCAGGGGCTGCCCTGTGCAGTGTCCGATGGGGAACCTCATTCCTGGCCTCCACCCCCTCCATGCCAATAGAAGCCCCCCCGCCATCCCTAAGTCAACCCAAAATGTCTCCAGACACAGCTGAGTGTCCCCCAGGGGGGCAGAATCGTCCTCAGTCGAGGCCCGCGGAGCTGGCTGATCCTTCCGGGCACGTGCCTTTCAATTCCTACGGCTCTGCCTCAGCCCCCAGCTCTCCCCATCTTACTCGGGACCTTCTCATTTCCCCAAACGGCACCACATTCCAGCGTGCGAACGCCGGGAGCACCCTGCCCACCGACCCTCGCTTCCTGCCCTTCCAGCGCAGTCCGTTTGGCGTTCCTCTTCAGACAAGCCCTGAGCTCCGCTAGACCCTGTCACCTGCGGGTCCTTCCCCTTCCGCCTGCCCCTCGCCACGTCCGAGCCGCGGCCTGTCACTACGCCATTACAGTGACTCCCCGACGTGTATCCCCAGCCCCCTCGGCTACTTCTTCCTTTATCACGTGGTGAAACCCAGGCCAGCTAAAGCCAGCCCTCCATCTCTCCCGCTCACCTGCCCCTGCGCCGTCTCATGCAACGTGGGCATCCCACCCTGGGGAGATCAGGGTGGGAGGTAGACCCCCATGGGGGGTGGCGAGGAGGCTGACCAGGTGCCCGGACTTTTCTGGGTCTTGGTAACCACCAAGTAACAGGTGCATCATAGAAAATACAAGTTTGCAAAGCGGAAATTAAAGTCACTGATGATTCTGTAGTCTGGAGATAAGTCATGCGGTCGATACTGATCACTTTCAGCTCTAAGAAGTCACATACATATATGCACATGTATGTGTATGTATATGTATATGTATGTATATATATTTTTTTTACAAAGATTTGGGTGTTGCTACATGTTCATTACCTACTTTGTTTTCACTTAGCATGTCATTCATGCCCTTCCATCGTTAGAAGCATTCTTCCCTGTAATTGTTTTGTTTCAGCTTTTGTTTTCAGTTCTGGTAAAGTACACATACCATAAAACTACCGTCTGAACGGAGAGAAAGCATGACGTCGGCCCTCGCACACCTGCCCGGCTGCCCTGTTTTCCTAGTTGACTCCACGCACGCACAGTGATTTCCCAAACTCCCCAGGCGGGGCTGGGTGTGGGCGCCTGACCCCACCTTCCTTCCTGCTGCTAAACCCTTCACCCAGGCCCAGGAGAGCCAGATCCCAGCCACTGTGCCCTGCCCTGGATTTGAGGGATCTGGGAGCCTCCTGCCCGCCCCCTCATGGCCCCCGTGTGGGCCGGAGTCCAGTCCCTGCCTTTAGCTAGGCTATGGGAGGCTGGGTGGCTGCGGGGAGCGACGCACATCCTGGCCCACCCGGGGAGGGGACTTAGGGGCCCGGCCATGGCTACCTGGTGGGACTGCCCTAGGGGAGCCGAGAGGCAGGCGGAGCTTTTAATCCAGGCTCCGGGAACTTCTCTCTCATCTCCAAACCTGACATCATTCCCACCCAGAGTATCTAGAAAGTTGGCTGTCTGAGCACCCGGCAGAGTGCAAACATAGAGCATTTGACACCATGTAGCTAATAATAATAATAACAGTGACAACACCAGCTTTAGCCTCCTGTCTTTCAGGGTCAGCTCTGGGTTGAGTCCTCAGCTTGTATAGTCTTGATATTTCCCAAGGTTCTGACCTTCACAGGACACCCTCAGGATTTTCCTATATCCATCTCCCACCCAAACCCTTATTTAAGATACTTTGTGAAGTAAAGCCCCCTTCAAGAACCTCAATCAATGACTTTCAAAAAAATTGTGGGTAAAGTATACATAACATGAAATGTACCATCTTACACATTTTTGTATGTCCAGCTTGGCGGTGGAAAGCATATTCACATTGTCATGCAACCAGTTCATCACTGTCCATCTCCAGAACCTTCCATCTTCCCAAAGCTCTGCCCCCATGAAACACTCCCTCCCCGCCCCCTCCCCCGGCCCCCAGCCCCGCCACCCACTTTCTGTCTCTGTGGACGGGGCTCCTCCAGGGACCTCCCGGGAGTGGGGTCAGACGGGGTCTGTCCTTCTGTGTTGGCTGCTGTCACTGAGCACCGTGTCCCCGAGGTCCCTCCACGCTGTGGCAGGGGTCAGGATGGCCTTTTTAAGGCTGAGTAATATTTCAGTGTGTGGACGGACTACGTTTTCTTGCTTCTTCTGCCAATTGAAAGCCTAAATCGATTATTGAAAAACAACCTCTGTATATTTGAATAGCTATACAAGCACGAGAAGTTGCAAACATTATACAAAGATCTGTGTGCCCTGTACTCAAGTTTTCTCTAGGCCTACATCTTATGTAACTATGCAAATTCAAAACCAGGACATTTATATTGATAAGATTTACAGATCTGATTTCAAGAGCTTTTACATTCATATGTGTCTGTATGCAATTCTTTCACATATATAGATTTGTGGAACCACCTCCAGAATTATAAAGCTTACACTGATTAATTTTTAAAAAAGAAACTTTGGAACCTTGCCACAAGTGGGAAGTGGACATGGCCAGACCTAAGAGAAGCTTATTTAAAAAGAAATGCAGTGGAAACAATGTCCCTGTATTCCAACCTGATGAAGGGCTTTCGGTCAAACAAAAAGGGGTTAAGTGTTAAGAGGCATGAGTAGGTCTTAGCACCCATTGAGCCCCTCTCTTCAAATTGGGGATTGAAAAGGAAGTGGGGTACTTGCCACCCAGTCCGGTGACTCCGAATGCAGGTCCCTGCATTCCCGGGAAGTGGCTTCCTAGGCAAACACTCTATCAGCTCCTCGAATCTTCACAGCCGCCCCGCAGACGGAGATACTGTCATTATTCTCATCTTGCAGATGAGGAAACTGAGGCCTAAGAGTTGAGGTGACGTGCCTTCTCTTCTTTTTAGCTGTGTGGCGCTGGTAAATTGCTTAACCTCTCTGGGCTTCGGTTTCCTCACTAGTGACATGGAGATAGCAATATAGTTCATCGTTCTTAGGGCTGTTAAGAGCACTGATGAAATGATTGTGAACGCTGAGAACTTAGAAAACAGCCTGGTACTGGTAAGTAGTCAGTAAAAGTGTGCCATTATTATTGTTATTCCCGTAAGGTTGCCTTGAAGTTCAAGGTCAGCCTGTGGTAAGAAAACCCGTTTCTAGTTATCTGGGGCCCACTGCCGGCTAGGCAGTGAGGGAAGCCCCTGACCTGCTTTATCTCTGTGTGCCTTTGTATCAGATGGGTCTGTCCTCATCCTCCCCATAGTACAGATGAGCTAACAGGCTCAGAGAGGTACATGTGCTTGCCCAGGTCACACAGCATAGGAAGGGGAGAAACTCAGAATTCAAACTCATTCTGACTCTAAAACCAGAGCTTCCCACAGCCCTTGGAAGTCAGGACTGGGGGCCTCAGACCTGGGATTCTGCAAATTCCTCCCCTCACAGAGGCTTTGAAGATGACCCCTGGTGGAAGTTGGGGTGCCCTAGGCATATGAGGTTCTTAACTATGCGAGAGAAATGGCTTCAATCCAAGCCAACCACCCATAACAGATAGGAAGACTGAGACCCCCAAGGGAGAGGTGACTGGGGAAGGTTACATAGCCGAGGGTCCCAGGGTTCCAGGGAGCTGAGCCAAGCCCCAAGGGCAGGTGCCGCTGGAGCTCTGATGGTGCTGTGGCAGTAAACCCAATGGGGAAGAGCCTGGGGACTGCATCACCTGCCTGTTCTCACGCCTGGGCATTATCACCTAGCATGCCCTTGGCCAGCGACTTTTCACCCTCTGCCTCAGTTTACTCATCTGTTAAGTGGGGATAGCAAGGCCACTCATCTCAGTGGGTGGGTTAACTAGTTGTTATTTTAAATTTCTGTTCTGAAATCAGTCCCCCTAGCTCCCACTCCTAGTGGGCAGGGAAGGGAGGCTCCGTCCCCACCCACGCCGCTGCGCTGCCTGAAGGGTCCCAGCCCCTTGGCTTATCCCAGGCGGCCGCCGCCACTGCACAACTCGGCTGCCCTGGTGCAACCGGGGAGCCGTCCGGCAGGTTTTTCCTCCTGACCTGCCACGGCACGGGGCTGTCCTCTGCCCGCCTCGCCTGGGCCTGGCCCTCCCAGGCTCGCGGGCTCCTCTCTGCCAGAAGCAGCCGGCAGACGGCAGGTGCTGCGCCAGGATGCCCAGCATCTTCGCCTACCAGAGCTCCGAGGTGGACTGGTGCGAGACCAACTTCCAGCACTCGGAGCTCGTGGCCGAGTTCTACAACACGGTGAGGGCCAGGCCGGAGGGCTGGCCATGGGGGGGGCGCGCAGCCTCACTAGACCGGGGTTCGCGGCCTGGCTTCTCCACAGCCCCACCGGGGAATCCTGCCTGAGCGCTCGCCTCTTGGAGCCTCGGTTCGCTCATCTGTTAAGCAAGGAGTGCTGGCTCATCCATCCATTTGGCATCAGGCTCTGGGATGGGTTTTGAATATGCAACAGGGACTAGGAAAAGAGCCAGTCTCTGCCCTCCCAGAGCAGAGGACACAGATGGGACTCCAGGCATTCACAGTGGAGGGTGACGGTGCTGTGACGGGGATGCATAGGCAGCTTTGGGGGGCCCAGAGGTGGCCTCTGAGCCGGTGGAGGGGGGCTTGTGGATCAGGGAGGGCTTCCTGGAGGAGGTGACTGTGTCTGCCTTGTTCTCAGCTGTATTCCCAGCCCAGATTGACCAGCTCATCCTGGGTTTCTGGGGACTGTACTGGTTTCGGCATTTCAAGTCCCATGTCCTAGGAGACCCCTCGGTTCTGGGCTTACCAGGAAAGCTGGCCATCCTTCCGTCAGCCCCTGTTACTGGGCCACATTGGGAGGGCTCAGAAATCTTGGATGCCTAAATGACAGTGGCATTTAACCAATGCTTGAAAGATGTAAGCAGCCAAAGATACCTGCAGCTACGCTCTTCCTGTGCATGCTGGGGGATGGTGCGCTGAATGAGGCAGAGTGCCTGCCTTGTGGAGCCCTGGGATGGTGGGTAATGCAGGCAATGCGCCTCTCTCTCCATGCCCCACATGTGATATAGGCGCCCCATGTATGGTGGGCAATGCAATCCTTTATTTATTAAATGCAATATGTTTATTGAGCACTTATTGTATGCCAGGTGTTATACTAAATACTAAACACTCTGTGTGAGAAATCTCACCTAATCGCCCAATGACATTGAGATTAAGGTGCGATATATATGACAGAGTTGATTCCACCATCCAGGGGAGAAAACGGGAGTTTGCGGAGGTGGGAAGCTATGCCCAGGGTCACCCTGGCGCTCAGAGCCGGGATTTGAACTTGGGCCTTGGAAGCTTTTGGCGGGGGCTGGAGGAGTGGGATGCCTGAGTGGCTCTGACCTTGATACCTTTGACCTCACCGCTTCCCAGAGCAGGGAGGCAGGGGTTTGAGATCCAAGGGTTCCCTGTGGTCTCCTTCTGGCCAGAGATACTGACTCTTGCTGACCCGCTGTATCCACGCCTGAAAAATGGAAGGGGGCTGAGTGTGCTGATCCTTGGGGGCTGTGAAGAGGATCTGGGGCTCTGGAACCCTTCTCTCTGGCTTCTGTGGCAGTCCAGGACGTTCCCTGTCCAGCCCAGCCCCCAGGTGGGGGCTCCCCCATAAGGCACGGAGAAAGGGCTGACTGAGGTGTGGGCTGGGTGCGCGCCGCCCTACAGAATTCTCCTCCATCCAGCCCTCCTTCAGCCCAGCTCTAAATGTAGTGACTTAAATAACCCACGGAAACTCTCCAAGGCTGCAGGTCTCAGATTTCCTCCGGTCATGGCATGGGCCAGGGGACGTTTATGTCATTATCACCCAGTACGTACATTTCCAGATACTTAGCAAACAGAAGCAAAAGTTTCACAAAATAAAACTTAACCTTTCCTGGCATGAACACATTTGGAGTTTTTTCTCTTCTCTTCTATCAAAAAGGTTCCAACAAAAACAGTCAGGGGATGAAGCATTGAATCTGAGTGATGTTTTAAACCAATGCCCTAAGGCTGTCTCCTCTAAAACCATCTGAACACCCCAAGCCCATCACCCCAGCTAAGAAATCATAGAGTTCAGGGGTTGGCCGACTTTTGCTGTAAAGGCCAGACGCTAAATATTTCTGGCTTTTGGGGCCATACAGTCTCTGTTGAAACTACTGATGGAAACCATTGTAGCTGGAGAGCAGCCAGGACAGCTCATGTAAACAAATGAGCGTGGCCCCGTGCCAATAAAACTTTATTTGTTGATGCTGGAATGCGAATTCCACACAACTTTCACACGGCACAAGATATTCTTTTAATTCTTTCAATCATTAAAAAACGTAAACATCATTCTCAGCTCTTGGACCACACAAGACAGGATGGTGGACTGGCCTTGCAGAGGGTCACGGTTGGCCAGCCTCTGATATAGTTTTATATAAATAAATAAACACACACACGCATACACACGCTAACCCAGCCAAACAGAAAACAACACAATTTTTTCTTTTTGACCTCTTAAACCAGCAATTTAAAAAGTGCTTATTTTGTGGTGAACATGGGCAGTCTGCCAAGTTGAGTCAAGATGTGGATTGACAAATTTACGTTCCCATTACCCCCTGTCTCCACCATTATACCTCCAGAGAGAATCCCAATAGACAGTAAGGTTTGTAGACAGTCATCACTGAGTCATTTGCATTTGCAAGAAATAAATGAATTAGTAAAAAGGAAGCCATAACATTTTCTCAATCTGTGTAGGGCCAAATACGTGCTGGTGATATACTCTGCTGCTATTTAAAAGAATGCTTTTGATTTAGGTATGTAAATGAAAGACAAAATATGTAGCAGAAATTTAAAAAAAACCTGTTTGCATTGATTTCATCATGATCCATTTAGGAGACATGACTCATGGTTGGAAAGGCCTTATGCTTTCTGCTTGCAAGGTGCTCTGAGTCTGGGGCCAGGGAAGGCAGAGCCCAGCCCCATGTGGTTGGGGGATGGAGGAAGGAAGCACAAGAGGCCTCAGCTGAGGCTTGAGGGGCTTCCCAGGAGGGGCCACCTAGGAGTGGGGTTTTGAAAGATGCATAGGAGCTCACCAAGTGGGGTAGGCCTTGGGGAAAAGGGAGATGAGAGGAAAAGTGTATACTGAATGCTGGAAGTCAGAGAGGAATGGACCAGTTTGGGAAGGTATGTTCCTGTGGCTAGAATCTGGGAGGAGGTGAAGACAGACAAGTTTTGGGTAGCAGGTCGGAGTGTTTGAAATTTAGCCCATATTCATTTCTGGACTCATTCATTCAACTAAAATGCTGTCAGCCAGTTTGTGCATGGTGATTCTGAGGTCCCAGAGAGGCTGAGTACTTCCAGGCTGTGGAGGGGGCAGGTTCAGAATTAGAAATGGTTAGCTCGAGGCCGAGGGCAGGAAAAAGGGGTCAGAAATAGGGGCCGTGGAGTGGGGCATCGGGCCTCGGCGTGCTGCGTGGGGAGGGTTCCTCAGCGCTGAGGGAATGAGTGGACGTGCTCTTAAGCATACACAGCAAATGGAACAGCAGGTGCAAAGGTGAGATGAGGGAACAGCCTGTCAAGAAATAGTTGGTGGCGTGAAGCCAGAGCCCAGGCTGCCGGTGGTGGAGGGACCGACAGGTGAGAGAAAAGGTGGGCGAGGTTTCCAGGGGCCGAATCAGGCACACCAGCTAGAGGCATGTGTGCGCCACTCTTGAGTGCACTGGGGAGCCATGAGTGACTTCTGAGCAGGGGAGAATCAGTGATGTTGGAAGGGGTGTAGCGGGGTACCTGGTTGCATCTCACAGATGGGCTGAGGTCAGGAAGCTAAGCCAACATGAACAGAGGCTGGGGATGTGGGAAGGGCTGGGCTGGGTGGGTCAGGCTGAAGCGTCAAGGTTAGGACCGCTCCAGTTTGCACCTGCTTGTGTGGCCTGATGGCCTCCTTCTCGGCCGCTGATAGCTTAGGAGAGTTTCAAGTGGCATGGGAAGCAGTTTCAAGGCCCCCCAGCTCCCAGCGGCAGCTGGGCTGCTGCGTTTCCTCCCTGGGGTCCTGCCAGAGCTTCAGGAGCCCCACGTCTCATCTTCTCCAGGAAGCTCCCTCTCAGATGATCTGATACTGAACACAGGGATGGCGTGCCTGGCACAGGAACCGCACAGGCAAACGCACGGGGGTGGGAATGAGGAGGAGTCTGGGGCAGGGGCACAGAAGAGCTGGGGGGTCGGACCCTGGCCCCCTGGGGTGATGGAGGGGTCCAATTCCAGGGAAGAATGACCCCTTCATTTTGCTTGCCATTCAATAAGTGATTGAGTCAGGCGCCATTCCAGGCTCTGTGGACATGCTGGTGGGCAGAGCAGACAAAATTCCCGTCCTCAAGGGGCTGTTGTCCTGGGTGGAGGAGGAGCAAAATTAAGACGACAGGATGCCAGCGGTGGTACATGCTAGGAAGAAAACCTTGTTCATTCCTTTCATCCAGCAAATATGGAGCAAGTACTTTTTCAAAATGGGGGCAGCTGTCAGGGGCTCACAGGACTGTTGAGAGGATAAAACAGCTGCTGCGCCTCTCAAGTGTCCATCAGCAGATGCGTGGGTGAACTCAATGTGGTCAGTCCTTGCAAAGGAATATTACGCAGCCACAAAAAGGAGTGGGGCCCCGACACGCGCTACAATGCAGATGGCTCTGAACACGGTGCTCAGTGAGAGACGCCAGACACAGAAGGTGTGACCCCATTTCTGTGACACGTCCACAGCAGGCAGCAACGCAGACAGAACGTGGGTCTGTGGCTTCCAGAGGCTGGGGGAAGGGATGGCGTCTGACTGCTAATGACGATGGGGTTTCTTTTTGAGGTGATGGGTGTTCTGGAACTAGATAGCGGTGATAGCTGCACAACTGTGTGAAGAGACCAAGACCCGCTGACTTGTGCACTTGTAAAGAGTGAATCGTACAGGATGTGAATTAAAAAGCAGAGCTAAAAATCAAATTCATTTTTTAATCAATTCTAAAATAGAAATTAAACATTAAAAAATTTAAAAGTTATATCAGTTAAAGACTAGAGATCTTTTAAAATAGAGATCTTACAGCTCCTGGAGCACCCTGAGCATTGAATACATTGAGCTTTATTAATAGAAGGAAACAGCATAGACATGCAAAAGTTAATTTTACTTGACATTTGTTAATTCTCTTTAACAAACAGCACTTACTGGAAGCCTCGTAACAATTCTGTAAGTAGGTACTCTTATTCTCTGCGTTTTACAGAGGAAATAAAGGCTCAGAGAGGGGGCG